GAACCATTCAAATAGAATCAGAAACCCAATCAGACCGGGCGGGCGGGGTCCGACCAGACCGGGCGGGCGGGGTCCGACCAGACCGGGCGGACGGGGTCCGACCAGACCAGGCGGACCGCGTCCGCTCCGGCCAGGCGGACCGCGTCCGCTCCGGCCAGTCGGACGGCGGCGAGACTGAATTAAAAAAAAAAAATTTACCTCGACGGCGACGACTGGAACAGCGGCGGTCGCGGCTTCTCCTGGGCGGCGGTTGCTTCTCCTGGGCGGTGGCGGCCGAGATCGGCAGAGGGAATGGTGGGCGGCGGCGTCGGCGACTTCGGCAGAGGAGGTCCTGGCGGCGGCGGCGAGCAGAGGAGTCCTTGCGGCGGCGGCGGCGAGCGGAGGAAGAGGTGGCGCCGGCGGTGGCGTGCGGCGAGCGGCAGGAGGAGGTCGGCTGTGGCAGGGGTGGGAAGGAGCTGAAGGCAGCAGAAGGGGGTGGGATTTGGCTAGTTAGGTTTAGGGTTTTTTAAAATGAGGGAGGGGCAAAATCGTCATGTTTTTTATAAGTACGGGCGGCAAATAGTAAAACGACGAGCGGCAAATAGCGATTCGGTATTTTTTCTCTTTTCAGCTAAACATCTATTTTTAAGCAAGATGAAAGGAGAAAAGAAAAAGAGTAGAGGACAAGGAAAGATCAGCAGCGAATATTTAAATAATAATTTCACATGGCCTAGCTATCTAGTCTGGTTTGGAATGGATGGGATGGGATGAGGAGGTTGAGAATTGAGAGAGACTAACATCAATCAAACAAAAACACACACAGCATACAGAATATTTCTGTTTTATTCAGGATGGATAGATGGATGGCTGGATGGATGTGTGAACGAATGGACGGCTCAGATCGCAATAACACACATTTGGATGGTTGCAATTTGCAAATAAGATGAGATGAGTTGAGTAGAGTTCTTATTTTTTATTTTGTTAATGCTTGATTAGGTAAATGCTCTCTGAGTAGCAACCATTATTTTCGACTGAACTCAAAATAAAAGATGAAAGTGAGTTAATTTTTGCCAATTGATTTGATATTCGTATGTTGTTTCATATATTTTTTGCTCAAATATTGTTAATTAGTTTCTACCGTAATATGAATGCAAACAAAAGCTGCCATCATATATTAATTAATATCAATTAGAGCTTAATCAACCTACTACTATATTTATACTTGTCAAGAATAGGCTCTAAACAATTTAGTTCACAAGTTGTTGAGCTCCATAATTGAGTTGGGTCGTGAACTCTAAACCGGCTAGCTAACTTGTTAGTTGAGTTTAACGAGCCACCAAATTCCTATATATATCTCCCATTCTTCTTAATCTCATGTCTTCACAACCGAGTCTCCGCTACCTTTTCCTCCTTGTTGTTCTCACTTAAAATACCAATGAAAAAAATTGTTGATGGGAATTTCATTGGAGAAGTTGTCGCCTTCAGTTCTGAAGACCCAAGCCAGAAGGAGTATCGATCATAATATAATTGATTCTTCAACCCGTCCCAATCGACTCTATGCGAGCTCGATGTGGAGCCACGTAGAGCACCATAGAGCACATCTGTCGAGATATCTTTTCAACACAAAGTTCAATCAAATCCAAAAAAAGGAGTCGTATGGGAAAGAGATGAAAAACATAGGAATGTCAGAAAATGGAAGTACTTGTTTGATTAATTTGAAGGCCAAACTCTAGACGTATGCAGAATATATCACAATCGAGGCCCGCTTTATCAAGATAATTGGCGATTAAAGAGGTCAAATTCTCGCGATTGTCATTGATTGCAGTTTAACTGAAACCTCTTACTATTTTCGAGGTCAAACGTGATGTTGAATCTGGCTATTGTGATTTTCCTCCAAAGTTTTGGTGAGAAAATGCGAAGCGATGAGGGAGGGCAAATTTGTATTTTAAACAACTCTCACACTCTTGAATCCATTCCATATAATATTATGAGAAACATTATCTCATGAACATTTTGTTGAAATGTTCGTATAAAATTATCGTGAACAAATATAAAAAAAAATTGCAAACATAAGTTTAACCATTCACAAGTTAGATTTTATTAAACACTAAGTAAAAAAAATTATAAGATCGATCAAATTCAAAGTTGTAGTTGTTTCAATTCTCGAAGAGATCAACTCAAAGACTGTAATAGACTTTAGCACCCGGGTTGTAATTAACCTAATAAAATATAAGAATAGTAGTATAACTCGAGTGACCTGAGGAGTCAAGATCCATACCTTGGTTCCTTTTGTGTAATTAGTTTTGAGTATTACTATTTTGGATAAACTCTTATTAGCCACGACCACAAATGCAGAACGGATAAGGATAAACATCACTAGGAAGAAGAAGTTAAAAAAAAAAAATTGTATAAAGGAAAAGAGGGGTTGATTGAAGTAGAAACTGTCATGTATAAAATGCTTGCATCAAATTGTTTAGAAATGGTTGCGTACGTATGTAATGGATTCCTATTAGCAGCAAACTACCACAGAGAGTCTTTATTCAAAGAAAATCTACCCAGCCAAAGTCTATTCAAGAAGGGACCGTTCCTTGTGGAGTTATTTGTAAGATTTTGCCGACCAAGCTCATTGCGATCTTTCTTGATTTGGCTTTATTCGCTAGCTCGATTACATGTTCTTCTTTTTTCCTAAAATAAAATGGAAAAAATAATATAGAAGTCCTCCTTCAATTTTGATTTTTGAGCGAGTGAAATTTCCAAAATCTCCTCATCAATTTGAAGGTTGATTTCCAAGTTTGCATGTTGTGAACCTCATTCCGGTAGGTGGGAATGGTTGATTCCCAAGTTTGGGTTTATCGTCTTTTGTTGAAGTCATTCTTCACTTTTCCCTTTCGGTCTTCCTTGGTTGGTTGTTTACGGCTTGATCGGTTGTTCGAATGTGAGTAGAGTCCTCTCATGTTGGGTGTGGCGGTTGTTTGGTGTCTCCTCGGAGTAACGATGAATCTTTAGCTTTTATAGTCCCGATCTCGCTTACTTGAAGCACCAAGGCGCAGAAACATGTCGTACCTCACAGTTCCTGAGGTAACAATTCTCTCTCATCCTGTAACAAACTTTCTTTCTCTATAATCAATAATATCTCACTCGTTATCATTTGTGGCTACTCGTGCCACTCTCACCCTCGCGTCTACATCTTACACCCAGTTAGACACAAACAACATGCATTAAGATGGATTACCACCACCCTTTGAAATGTTGAAAGGACTAGCACGTACAAATTCTGAGTCAACGTGGATTGGAACTCTCACCGTTCGATCGTTAATTGGTTGGGCAATTGCTATTCCGAACATTACTTTGTAATTTGACATGTAAGGATAAATAAATAAACAAATAAAACCCCTTGGGATTATCAAGAGGCCTCAATTCTCAAGTAAGCCAAAGCCCTCAAGGTAATACAAATGATCACTTTGGCCACTCACTCACCCAGTATTGCACCAAAATGGAACTTCTCCAATCCAAAGGGAAAAGAGATTGGGAATTGGGATTGTCCAGAAAGAAAACAAAACCTAAAAACCCTTCACTCTTCTTTCCTTCTTTCCCACTTGGATCTCCTCGTGTAACTTGTTCAGATTTTAACCAGAAATGGATGAAGATCTAATTAATCGGCCTGGAAGGAAGGGAACTGGTCAGCAGCAAGTAGCTATATATACTAGCTGGCTAGGATATTATACAAGGCAAATGATGAAAATGATATGATATGCTCCATGTTATAATTAAAACCACCTTTCTTATCACAGAATTAAGGCACTTCCTTTTGTTCCCAATTGGCTTCTTGGGAGGGGAGCTTCTTCCACTGCTCTGCTATCTTTCAATCTATCAAATTCTCTGCCTTGCACTATATCTTGTTGTCAGTAGTCAGTGGACAGAAGAAGTAGCCTAGCTATAGCAATATTGTTGCAGTGGACGGACGGGAGTTCTGCATTATTTATTGGGAAGGGGAAAGAAAACCAAACCTTCTCCCAAGTCCCAACCCATCCAACTTAACCTAAATTAAATGGGAAAACATGCACAGATTCAGAAATGTAGGGATGAAGAAAAAAAATCCCACCCGAACATGCTTCTTTCGGGTAGGGTAAAACCAGGCCAGAATGAAATCCTCGATGGTATGGATAAAATCTGAACTCGAAAATCATGGACAATAAGTGTGTATAGGGTTTTCATTATCCAATTCTAACCCGTCTAATTATAAGTACATACGAAACATTTTGTATAAATCATTTAATTAACATATTCGCTATTGCTAGTATATTTGTAGTATCTTAAGAACTAATGTTCCTTTTTTATTCTTTCTCTTAGAATTGGTGATTTGATATTTATAATTTCACGCTTCTATAATGTTCTTATAATTGTTATTAGTTAAACTAATAACAAAGCAGCTTCCGAGGATATCTTCGTTCGGTCCCCGGTTTGTGAGCCAGGTTCCCCCCTTCTTTTTTCTTGGCACGATTATTATTCATGGACATCTGAAACCGAATCGGGTATGGGCATAACTGTAGTTTTTGCCCGAATCTTTTACGTGTATGAGTATAGATAAAACTAGGACTAGTTAGAGTAGAGTAATGGATAGTCAATATCCGTACCGATCCGACCCATTGCGATCCCAACAGAAATGACAACAACCAAAATTTAAACTTTAGACATGTGTAGTAGGGCTGGCTATTTGGTCCGGGTTTTTTGGTTTTACCCGAAACCGGATCGTATAACCCGCATCGAGACCAGATAGTAAACAATCCAATCCAATCTTTGGGCTTAGATTTGAGGTAAAAAAAAACCATTCGGGACTAGATCAAAAACTAGATAAAGACCGTATAAGAGAGCTCAATACAAAAAACTTAAGGGTAATTTGCATAAACGGTCACAATCTTTGCACTTAGTACAAAACTTAACCAACTCCTCACCATTTCGGGCCTTAGGCCACTCAAATCCCCACAATCTCAATATAAAAGCAAGACCGAATTGGGATCGGACCGGATCAAGACTGGACTATATCCAATCCAATCTTTGGTCCTTATATTTTCAAAAAGACCGGACTGGACCGGATGAATTTGGGCCAATTTAATCGGACTGGCCGTATAGCCACTCCTAATGTTTAGTCTCATGTTTAGACACGTCTAGGCGTTAGATATATAACACCAGATTGTTTTTAGGGGGATTCTGCTACGATTTAAGTAATGAAACACGCCGATAGAGTAAGGTGATACTTCAGACATAATTAGATGGAATTAAGAAGTCAATATTAAATGATGAAATTAACATATCCGTAAAGTCAATTCTATATCCATGTTTTCAATAGTTCAAGAATTGTATAAATTATTAGACTATGATTCTATAAATAGGTTAGACGCTAGACAACGTTCCAACGGTCTTCTCAACCTTGATACTACCAGAAGAGAACCCATAAAAAATCACACCTAGCTAGCTCTCTGCATGTCTTTATCTATTGTTTGTCACGGTTTTCTTTTCGCTGCGTTCATCCAATGAACTGTAATTAACCTGAACCCAATCTAATCGGAACTAAATGAACTTATTTTATCAATTAAGATATAGAAAAAAATGAAACTTTAGTAGCGATGAATGGATTATGAGTCACCAATCTGGGTAGTGACTTTCACAATAACTATCATTTGTCCTCACAGAATAGTGGGCGTGAACCAAAAGGGTGCTTGCTAAGGTTTTCGGAAAAAGTTGATTTAATTTTTTATTTAAACTATTGGTTGATGAGATAGTCAATAATTAGTGGCCATGATTAGTTCATTGATAAAATGAGTGAATTTTCAGAAATGGCTGATATGAATTATGTTTAAAAAATAATATCATTAATAAAAACAGTATGTTGGATATGAACTTTTTCAATTGAAGTGGCTTTTAAAAATCTACACAATAAATAAAAGACAAATGAGAAGATTTGAAGTTTCATTTCAAATTTTTTGCATCCAGAGTGAAAGTAGGAAAGACATTTTGATCTTCACAATTTTTTTTATTCATTAAAAAGACACGTACTAGGATTTGAATCATGACCACTTTAAATAAAAGCAAAGATCATAAGCAATCACACTAAGTACATTTGTTGTATCTTTTTAAATTAAAACATATAATAACAGAGAGGAAAAAATCTTTCCCCCATTTCAAATTCCCTGCTCAATGAGCGTTTGTAGTAGAATAGGGAGTGTCAATTTTTTTTCTTTTTCCTCCGTGGAACGGGCAAACTTACCGTACACATGCTGATTTAAACGGGTCTAGGAGTGTCAGTTTTTTTCTTTAAGCCCTTTTATTTCTCCGCGGTTGTAAAATATATATGAAAAGGCAAAAACAATACTCCTTTTTATTGCTAAAACGAAGAAAAAAAATTTAACAATAACCTAATGCATGGATTCTAATGGGCTAACCGCTAATCATAAAATAAAAGAGTTGAATGGGTCTGACCTACACAGGATTTGCCCATCAAGTAAAACAAATGAACATCATGGGTTTGTCATTCTAAAACAAGCTATTTTCTCTAGTATAATATATATTATGCTATTATTTTATATCCTAGTGGCTAAAATATAATTTATTTTAAAGTTATTCAATGGTTCAACCTCGACCAGTGGCGGACCCAGAAATTTTACATAGGGGCGTCCTCTTTCAAATCATAAAGTAAAAAAAATTAAATTAGAAAATACCCAACTCGTACAAGTTAAAAAAAGTCTATGATGTATTTTCATATTCTAAAAAAAATTGTAAAATACACTTGGTGTCTACACTACTCATTCACGAACTGACGCATATTCGACCTCTAAATTTGTTTTTGAAGTAACTCAAAACTGAAAAGACATTTTCAGCACTTGTCGTACAACCATAAAATCAATAAAAATTAAGAGTAGCTTGTAATTATATTAATTGTTAGGTTTTGAAAATAATCAAAGATAGATAAAAGGATTTTGCTATTACAAAGTGTTTAGAATATAACAACAAAAAAGTTGTAGCCTTATGGAAATTATATTTATTAATAATAGTAGTGTCTCGGGTTTGAATTATCCAAACTACCACTTATATTCTCCTACACAAACTACAAATGAGAGTAGAATAATCGTTTTTTCAAATTTCAGGGTGTCCTGGACTATTAATTATAATTTTTTTGTCCATACGTATATTACCACCGGAGGTTGGTTAATCGTTTTTCCAAAATTTAGGGGTGTCCCTTAAACCCTCCTGGGTCCGCCCCTGACCTCGACCAACCCAATTAGTCTAATTTTTATCATTTCAAATATATATTATGTAATTATTTGATATCATAATGATTAAATTATAGTGTATTTTATAGGGAATCGTTTGATATTTGTTAGTAAAAAACTAAACAGAAAGATCTATTTGGCTATTTTTAACATTAAAACGATCCTAAACATTTTCAGTTTCCTTTCGAAAATTCTATAGTTTTATTCCCGAATCACTGATGTGCAAATGGCGAATTGCAGTCATCTCTTTTCTTTCACTATTTTTTATTTTCAAATAGAAAGTTTAAAAGTAAAGAATAATTAGAGTTTGGCATGGGTTGGTCAAACAGGCCGAATTTCAAGTTTTGATCCGTTTTGATCAAGTCTAATTTATAATCACATGGTTCCCTGATACCCGATTAAAATCTCAATCCAAACCAGTTTGGCAGGTGAGTATGTGTTTACCACCATTATCTAGAGATACAAGAACGCGGGTTCATATCCCAAATTGTGTTGCTGATTCTTGATTTCTTTAGATTTTATCATGGCTTGGCAAAAACCAGAATGCACAACGACGACAAGATGAAAGTTTTATAAAGCAAATTAATCGGCCAACGGGCCGAGTAAAAGCTAGCAAAGATTGTGAGATGCTCATTTCCCGAAAATAGGTGGGATAGTCGATTTTTTATTCGATTTTCTGGAATTCGATTTCTATACAACTTACTACTCCACCTCATCATATTGCCAGAAACAATATTGTTTCACAAGGTAACAGATACTTGATTTTGCTTCATAAGGCTGATTTTTGCTTCATTGCATAATTCATGTCTTTTTCCTACTAAGATTCAGTATTTTTATCACGTGTTTCCCAAAAAAACTATACAATAAAAAGCTATACACCCCATTACATTATCAAATTTCATACCTCACCTTCTTCCGACCAACTGGCCGGGGCCACGCTAGTTTCTAATAATTTGTCGATTTAGATGAAAGTTTGTTTCGATAAAGGTAGTGAGTCATGCATGGTTGTCATGCCATTGGTATGTCTGTCAGTTAAACTAGATTCAACGGGTAATGGTCATGAAATCTGCTGGAATATCACAGACATATTGTTGCGCTCAAAATCGGCCAATTCTGAGGTTGAACCAGATTTTGCATGGAAGACCCTTTTGTGAGACTTGGATTTTTACCTCTAATCAAAAAAAAATTTCAAGTGGTTGGTAATATTTTAATAATCCTAATCATAAAAAAGAAATTAATAACGGTCAACAAAAATATTTGCAGAAATAATTATTGACATTTCACCTTAAAGCTTTAGAACGAACACACATGACACATCGAGAACATAAGAGTACAAGTGACAAAAACCTTAAAATATGAGCTCTTTCGTGGTATCAAGCCTTTTAAATTAGATTACTCCAATGATGCATCAACTCAACCATCTGTAGGTAGTAGTAATGTTGGTTATTCTCACACAATGCTCAAAAAAAGATCATGCTTGGGAATATGTCGAAGATATCATAACCAATGATGGGAAGTTGGGGAATGAGTGCAACTTGTGTGCTCGTGTGATAAATGGAAGAGGAATTATTAGAGTGAAGCAACATTTAGCTAGCTAGAGAAAGACCAAGTTGGCCCTTATTCTCAAATTTCTCTCATGTTAGACTATTTCTTCTATTATTTTCCTACTTTTTTCTCGGTCCCAACTTTAATACTAAATGGTGCCTAAACAAGTACGTAATTACATTTTTGTTTATGGCTTAGAATTATAAGCTAAACAAAGTATATTTTCTATTTTCATGTTGTTGTGGTGGCATACTTGTACATATGTTACAACTTATAACAACTCTCTACGACAACCACAAGTCACAACAACAATAAAACTATAGTAAACGAGGCCTAGGTAGCTATTTTTGTTGTTTCAAAAAATGATTAATTGCGAGAGTCTATTAGTTGTTGGAATAACTTTATTTAATAAATTCTATATCAAATTTCACTAGACCCACTTTCAATGTACATATTTTTGGAAAAAATTCAAAAGTACCACTGTTTAAAAAAAAAATTCCAAAAATACCATCCAATCCCAAAAAATATCATCATTTTTCAAAAACCGCCACCCGACCCTGCGGTTTACACGAAAACCGTTTGTCGGGGGCGCGGTTTTCTATGCAAACCGCTGGGCAAGGGGGCGGTTATAAAAAAAAAAAATTTGGACCAAACCGCTGGTATCCGACCGATGCGATTTTTTTTTACATTTCGCATAACTTTTCAAGATCTACAACTTTTAGTAGGATGAAATTTTCAAAACAGGAACTATTTGTGGATATACGGGACCTTGGGAATAACTTTACCTTTACCTTTCACAAATCCATGTACATTTTGAAATTATGATTATATTAAAAGTTGTAGATCTTGAAAAGTTATATGGAATAAAAAAAAATTCAGGACATTCGGATTTTGGAGCATAAAGTTATGGCCGCCCAAAGTTTGAGGAAATAAAAAAAATTCGTTTGAAGTTACATTCGTTTGAAGTTTCGGCCGAAGTAAGGAGTTAGATCGTAAAAAAAAAAAAATTTTTTTGGACCAAACCGCTGGGTGGGGTGGCGGTTTTGGGTCAAACCGCCACCCCACCCAGCGGTTTGGTCCAATTTTTTTTTTATAACCGCCCCCTAGCCCCGCGGTTTGCATAGAAAACCGCGCCCCCGACAAACGGTTTTCGTGTAAACCGCAGGGTCGGGTGGCGGTTTTTGAAAAAGGATGGTATTTTTGGAATTTTTTGGGATTGGATGGTATTTTTGGAAATTTTTTTTAAACAGTGGTACTTTTGGATTTTTTCCCATATTTTTCCTTCTCCATTTTGCATAACTCATATCCGAAACCATATTTTCCATTTTGTTTCCATCTCATTTTCTCCCTCAAATTTTTAATAACTCGTCATGCCACACTATTCCATCTATTATCTTCCTACTCATGTCCTGAAGATTAATACTAAATGAGTGATAAGAAGTTACTAAATGCATTTTCTGTTTCTGGTTGTCAATTTTTATGATTTGTGAGAATAAGATTAGGGGGTCGTTTGGATGAGGAATTCCAATGGATCAACCTCACACAATTGTCTCGTTTTGAGTCAATTGTGCTAGATTGATCCGTTTGGCAGCAGAAAATTTGGATGAAACAATTTGGGCTGGGGAATTCTGAATTGACTCATTTTGAGCCAATTACAATTGTCTGGGGTGGGGGCAGGTAATCTGAATTGACTCATTTTAAATGACTTGTTTTGTAAAATGAAACAATTGGTTAAATTATCTCGTTTTATAATTAATCCATCCAAACGACGAATTCTCGGTAATTAGAACATGATAATTTGGATTTCTTATCCCACCGTCTGTCAGGAATAAATGCTCACCATTCAGGCATTCACCCATGTGATTAATTTTGATTCCTAACAAAAAAATGTATTGTTTTGTTTCACACAATCTCATTCATGTCGTTCATCATCAACCACTTTTTTATATTGTGAATAAAAGAGCGAGAAAGAGAGGAGGAGTGACTGAATGAGAGAAGGTGGGATGGGAAAGAAAGAGAAATTTATGAGACAATGGCAGCACTAGCAGCAGCAGCAGCAAGGGCACTGTTGAGGAACAGGAAAGAGAGGGAGGGCAGCAGCTAACAAGAAAGAAAAGAGAGAACCAAACTAAAAGAGAACCAAGAGAAGAAAGAAAGAAAGAACCCCCTCCCCCCAATATATGACATCTGGTCTTCCTCTTCTTCTTTTTCTTTCCTGATCTGAGTCCTCAGAGCTCTCTGCAGTAGGGTTCTTCCTCCCCTTCTTCCTTTCCCTCACTTATTTTCCAAGAAGAACTGAACAAATAGTGAAAAAAATAAAGTAGCTAGGAAGAAGAAATTCTTTGGAAAAGGAATAGTGCCCATCCAGCTGCCTGCCTTCTCCACAAACTGACTGACTGATTCCTCTCTCTCCCTCTCCCTCTCTCTGTGTGCCTGCCTGCGCCCAAAGAAAAGAAGCCACCAAAAAAGACAGCAACTTTGAAGCTGAAATAGCGGGGGGAGAAGAGAAGAAAATAATATAATGGATCAGCAGTGTGGCCGTACAGTTTGTAGCAGCAGCAGAAGTAACAACAACATTATTATGAATGTTGGTGGTGGTGTTGTGATTCCGCAGTCCTCTCCTTCTCCATCTCCATCTCCTTCTCCTTCACCTTCTTCTTCCCCTTGTTCAATGGAGATGGCGAATCATTCCTCCATCCCTCACCACCACCACCACCACCATAACAACAACAACAACAATAATGTGCTCTTTGTTCATGGCAACGCAACCACTCAACCTCAACCACCACACCATAACATGGTTGCAGCTGCTGCTGCTGCTGCTAGGGTTTTTGGGAACAACAACAACAACAGCGACCCTTCTCCCTATTATTTCATGGACGGCGGCGGCATAAACAACATGATTAGCACCTCCATTTCTGTCGCTGTTCCTGCTTCAGATCCCATGATCATCACTACTCCTCTTCCTAGCAGTCATAATAACACGAGTAGTGGTATGAGGGCCAAGATCATGTCTCATCCCCACTTCCCTCGCCTCTTGTCCGCCTACTCCAATTGCCAAAAGGTTGCTAATATAAATCCATCCATTTCTAAGTTTCCGTTGCCCCCCATTTCTCAAGATCCAAATCTAGTGCTACAAACTGTTGAGCTGGTTAAACCGTTCATGGGTTTCATTTCTCCTCTCGTTTTTCTTTTTTTGGATGATTAATTTTGTTTGTTTGTTTGTTTGTTTACTAGCCGTGTTAGCCGTACGTGGGTTTGTTCTCGTTTTTTTTTTTAACTCTAATACATATTATGGAAGGGAAATAATTAAATTCATTTATTATTATGGTTATGAAGGTTGGGGCGCCGCCGGAGGTGGCGGCGAAGCTGGAGGAAGTATGCGGGGCGGGAGCGGCGGCGGCGATGGCGGCGAGAGCAGGGTCATCGGGAGGAGAAGGAAGCATCATCAGCAACGGTAGTATAGGGGAAGATCCAGCACTGGATCAGTTCATGGAAGCTTACTGTGAGATGTTGACCAAATACGAACAAGAGCTCTCCAAGCCTTTCAAAGAAGCCATGCTTTTCCTCTCCAGGATCGACTCCCAGTTCCGTGCCCTAACCCTCTCCACTTCCTCCCCCACTGGTAATTTTTTTTTTCTTCTTTCTTCCTAATGCCTTAATTTCTATGGAGCTAACTTTTTCGGTTTCCCCACTTGTTTGTTTAATTATCATCATCTTGTCCTGTTAGGGTAAAAGGACTGTTGTTTGCTTGAGTGACGAAATGCCTATAACCTAATAAGCTAAAGAGAGATGGGAGAGGGAACTCTATGCTCTATGTCTATGAGGCCAATCATGCACGAGGAACCGTAGCTTTCCATGAATGAATGAGACTCTAATATAATAATAAAATAGGTATTTAATTAAGAAAGAAAAAAAGTTAAGCGTAGATGGATGATAGATAGATAGATAGATAGATGGTCTATGGATTGTAGGGTTTCTTAGGTTATAGGGTGCTTGAGATTCTCTTTGCTTTGTCTGTCTTGTGTGCTCTACAGCTACAGAAGGAGAACTGAACAACTGGTGATGTATGTAACGTTTGATTTGATCAGTTTCACTGATTTTTCTTTTTGTGCCTCCTCTACCTATCCACTACTCTTCTTTTTCTTTTCCTGAATCCTGACCACCCATTTCTAGGGTTCTTGCTTCACCCACTTTTCTTCCTAGATGGAGCCAACTTGAGCTGTAAATCATAGGAAGGGGAAACTCAATGGTTTCTGCTTTAGCTATAGCTAAGCTGCTTACTACTTACCTACCTGCAATTTTTTTTTTAATATCTGAAGAATGTTGCAGTCTCTGTATCAGAGTATGTATCTAACTGGTGTTAATTTCAACAGGAATGTTCGGTGTTTGTTCTTACAAGAAATTATATATGTCGCTGGTAAATTCGTTAGATGATTTATTTATAATCCCATAATTTGTCTTACCATTTGCACATATAGATGACAATCAAACCCACAAGCCGACCTTCTCCCATTTACTATTTTTAGGATGGGCATGTGTAAATTCCTAAAAAAAATTGTCGGAGATGGAAGTGAGTATGGTTTCAGACTACTCTTCCTGTACCAATACTCCCTATTCGCTAGTATTTTTACTTTTAGAAAGATAATAGGGAATATTGAAACTTCTCTCTCTAACTTGTTGAAGAGTGAGCAAGAAAGACAGTAAAAAATTCTATCCAACAATTTGTTTTGAAGAACGAATCATCAAAAGACTAAATTTATTTGAAACCCCAGAAAAGAAAAGCTTGGCCATGAATCTTTGATCCTTTTCCCCCAAGCAACCTCATGGCCATAGCATGCATGCATGAATCTACCTCTCCTCAAAATTCGTGCTCTAATTATCAGAGTCAGTCAGTCATAGATGAAAACCACACAAACATCTCAAGCACACGCAACATACCACAATGGCTAGCAAGTGTCTCATTTCATTTATGTGTAGTTGGCATATACTCATTAATGTGCTCATTGCACACTTCTATGGTGCTAGCTAGCATCTTACGTTCCCAAAGCCTTACCCTTTTTGTTACTTGTTAGTTCATTTGATTCCGTGTGTGATGTTGCTTTACTTTTTGAGTATGGGGTTTCCAGGTTCCGGTGACTTCACCGGGAGGAACAATGGAGGATCGTCGGAGGATGACATCGATGGACTCGAGACAAGCTACATCGACCCACAAGCCGAGGACAAGGAGCTGAAAGTCCAGCTGCTCCGTCGATACAGTGGATACCTCGGCAATCTGAAGCAAGAGTTTCTCAAGAAGAAGAAGAAGGGCAAGCTGCCAAAGGAAGCCAGGCAGCAGCTCCTCGAGTGGTGGAACCGACACTACAAATGGCCCTATCCATCGGTAACACACAGTCAAACCCTAGCTCCAGAGCTAGTTTTAATTCTTGTGTATCGTTTGAATCTGAATCTGTTTGTGTCGAAGCAGGAATCGCAGAAGGTGGCGCTGGCTGAGGCGACGGGGCTGGACCAGAAGCAGATCAACAACTGGTTCATAAACCAGAGGAAGAGGCACTGGAAGCCGACCGAGGACATGCAGTTTGTGGTGATGGATGCTGCTTACCCTCACCATTACTATCTGGACAATGGTGTGGGAATGGGGAGCAATGCATTTCCTTTGGACTTCAATTCCTCCACTTCTCATCTTTGATTTGGTTGTCACTTTGCTAGCTTATCTCATTCTGCTGCTGCTTGTTTAGTTTCCCTGGTTATGAAGAAGGGGCCGGGGGATGTTATTGTGGCTTGTGAGTGTGTGTCTAGAAATCTTATCATATATTATGGTACCTAGGTGTATTGTATGTTTATGTTTGTGAAAATTAGGGCTTGGATCCAAATATCCGACTTTTGATATATTTATCATATGTTATGGAATATTAGTATTGACTATGTTATATATTATAATTCAAGTTTTCTTGGCTTAGTGTTTGTGGGTATGTTGTTGTATGGTGGTTTGTTAGTATTTTTGTGTTGTATTTGCTAAATTGTAACGCCGGTTTGAACACAAAAACAGGTTATTCAAGTTCTGAATTTAGATAGGTATTGGAAGAATAGTTAGATTAGGTAGATATTATATGTCTCGTTAGTATGTTTAGGGTTTGAATGGTGCATAATATTCAGTTTCGTAACTCTTAGTCCTGGACTCCTTGTAACCTAAGCTATAGCAAGAGCAACAACTTTCTTCTTGTCATCATATTATTAGCTACTGCCTTTGTCTGATTTACTTAATAACTGTCTACTCTTTGCAATTAATACTTTCCAAGATAACGAATTATTTGCACCCATTTTATTATGGTCCGTTGCCACATGCATTATAAAGATTTGATTTTGGCGTTATATTATAAATGGATGGTGGAGATAAATAAGCTAGTAGACGGGCCAAGTCAATACAATCAGGAAGAACAAAATCCACTTGATCTTGATGCCGTATTAATGGGGTAAATCCTCTATTATCTTCCTTGGTGGATTTGGGTCCACTTGTATCCTTTTCACTGGTTATATCTTGGATTTTCTTCTTCCCCCACCCTTTTTTATATCCTTTTGGTGTGTACTTAGTTAGTGGATGTGCCTCACGAGTTGAGAGTTAGCAAAAACAAAAATCACTTCTTGACATTTTGCTTATAAACCAGAAGTAACACCAATTTTTGTTGGTATAGTGATAATGTAGACAGGAGAACATCCCCCTAGAATCAAATCTTGAGACAACAACTAGTGACAAAAATAAACCAAAAGGAATTCATTCAACTCATTCATCAAACAACACATAATCAGATTATTTAGCATGTATTGTCTTTAATATTTATATTTAAATAATAAGTAAGACGCTCAATGAAAGTCCCTGTTGGACACCGAATAAAGGCACTTTAGGAGCGGGAAGATCAACATAGTAGGAAGAAACTCATCTTTCAGAAGCATAGGCAGATTTATGGGGTCTCAGGATATGAGAAGTATCTGTCGGAAACATACAAAGGGTCGGTAGTGGAAGCCTGGAACCAAAGAGTGCAAGAAGCCAAGAACCACAATCTGAAGTGCAGAATTCAAATTGTTATTTCCAAGTAACAATCATGATTGGTATTTCCAAGTAAGAGTGATTATGTGTGTGAGGCATCCCACCGCTATATTTGTGATGTATGTTTGTATGTAAGAGAACCCTCGGGCGGTTGGGCCACTACTGGACGCGATAGATGGTCGGGTCATTACTGGACAACGATATGTAACGCAGTAGTTGACCGGGAATGGACCGGACGACGATACGTAACGCAGTACCATTGCCTTGAGAATAGGGACACCGGACGACGATACGTAACACGGTGGTCCCTAGTATTTATGTGTATGAGTTAAGGATAGAAGTAAATAACTTCTATAAGATAAAATTAGTAGTAAAGATATTTTATAAGCTATTGAGTAATAAAGTTGAGGGATGAGAGCGAGAACGACTTTCGTCTAAGAACCCCCCCCCCCCCCCAATAATGTGTTTAGAAAGGGTTTGCTTAGGCAAAGACCTTAGGAAGTAACGACGAGACAGACCCCTTCTCACTCACCAGGTCGAGGAAGGGTTAGCTGATGTGGTTTTCGAGAAGAGGCAGGACGAGGCGAGCAGTCGTACCAGCATGGACAAGATTTCAGGGAGCTCACGAGGAACCAGAGTTAGAATAGTTTAATTATATTGTTTATGATTATGAGCATAAACTGGAGATACTGAGTTAAGTCATTTTAAGTGTTTGGATTGTTATTTGCCCAAGTGTTCGGGCTTTTTGTTTGAAATTCTTATGCATGGTCGGTTTGTTTATTTTAAAAAGTGGTTTGGGTTGCTCCGGAGTAACCGGTTTTCCGTTTGAGTTATGGTTTGGTTTTCATAAAAGAGTGGGTCGTTTCACAAGAAAGATGCAGTTGTTCTTCTGCAAAGGAAAGCATTGTGCCCCTTCCCAGACGGTAAGTTGACAAATTTTAAAAAACGTTACAAGACTTCCAATTGTGCCCCTTCCCAACATCTTCTGGATGTTGTTCCACAGAAGATTGTGATAGCTATGAATGCACAACTGCTTCAACCATTTACAAGAGATGAAATTTGGTTCACATTGAAGAAAATGTGACCTTTTAAGGCCCCAAGGGATGATGGAATGCCTTCTGGTTTCTTTCAGAGGCATTGGAACATAGTTTGTGATGAAATTACAAAGGAATTGCAAGGATATCTTGAAATGGGTGAGTTTCCGCAAACCCTCAATCATACTCTGATAGCGTTAATTACAAAGGAAAAGTCTCCTGAGCAGCCTATGGATTTTAGACCTATTTGTCTATTGTAAGGTTCTCTATAAGATCCTATCAAAAGTTCTTTCAAACAGGCTGGAGAGGGTGTTAAATGAAATGATTGTTGAAAACCGGAGTGCTTTTGTCCCCGGCCGTTTTATCACAGACAATATTATTGTGGCTTTTGAAAGTTTCCATGCGATGAAACAGAGGAAGAAAGGGAAAAGGATATGTGGCGGCAAAACTGGATATAGCAAAGGCGTACGATAGGGTTGAATGGTCGTTTCTGGAGGGAATAATGCGAAAGTTGGGATTTGCAAATCGATGGGTCAACCTAATTATGTAGGGGTGAACAAACACACCCGCAAACCAATCCACCCGTCCAATCTGACCCGACCCACCCGTATTTATCGCTAAAATGAAGGTTTTGGGTTGGGTGAGGGTTTTCTTTTGTACAACCCGCCTCTTTTGGGTTGGGTTTGGATTTTGGATTACACAACCCGTAGAACCCAACCCAACCTGTGTTCCAACTATTGGTATGAGTTCGTACCCATAAAATATTTATGTCGTATATAGTCATACATATGAGAAAATTAATATATTTCGCCATGTTTTCTCTCTCATGGTTTTCCTAATCTAAGGCATTCTTCGGCTTAAAGTTTAGACATAAATTTAATATAGTTATGATTCACGTAATCCTTTTTCTTGTGTATAATTTTAATAGATAACATATTATGGATGCATTCGTTTATAACCTTTTTAGCCTATTTCAACAAATGTCGTGAAAAAAACTATACAGATGTTGAAGTAAATCAAATATTAATAAAATTCAAATAACATTTATGAATTTTGATATCTTTCACCTTAGTTTATTTGTTTGAAATGTTAATTAGTTATAAAATATTTTTATGGTGATTACATATTTTGTGTTGGGTTGGGTTTTTACTTAAAAATATCGCCAACCCGACCCAACCCAATTAGAAATAAACCGTAGGGTTTAATTTTTTTTGGGTGGTTTTGGGTATAATATTTTTCAAACCGTAGTTTATGGGTCGGGTGATTAAAATGGCTTAACCCGAACCACCCGACCCATGTACACCCCTATACTTATGCACTATGTTACTATAGTATCCTATGCAACACTTATTAACTGACACCATTCAGAGACATTCTTCCAACAAAGAGGACTAAGGCAAGGAGATCCGATTTCTCCTATTAGTTTCTCTTAGTTGCAGAAGGCTTATAAGGTCTAATCAAGAAGGCTGAAAGGGAAGGTTTACTACAGGGTTTAAGGGTAACGAAGGAAGCTCCTGTTGTTTCACACTTTCTATTCGCCGATGAAAGCATTTGTTTCATTCAAGCGACCACTACCGTCTGTTTGAAATTGAAACACATACTACAGCTCTATGAAACTAGGTCAGTATAGCAAGTTAACCTCAACAAATAAGAATTGTCTTTCACGCCTAACATATCCAATGGGAGGCAAGAAGAGTTGGCTCGAATTCAAGGAATGAAGAAGGTCATCTATCATGAAAAATATTTGGGGCTTCCAACTACTATAGGAAGAGAAAAGAAGACAGTCTTTAGCTATCTGGTAGACAGAGTTCGAAATAAGGTCAAGCTTTGGAAAGGAAGGTTACTATCAAATGTAGCAAGAGAGATTATAATCAAGGTAGTGGCACAAGCTTAGACAACTTATGCTATGTCAGTTTTTCAGATTCCAAAAGGAACGTTAGATGAGATCCAAAGCCTACTATCTAACTTCTGGTGGGGACAACAACAAAATGAAAGGCGGACACATGGGAGGATTTGGAAGGAGTTGTGTTGACCTAAGAAAGAAGGTGGTATGGGGTTTAAAGAAATGGAAGGCTTCAATTTGGCATTACTTGGAAAACATGTTTGGAATCTAATTAAGAAACCAAATTCATTGGTTGCAAGAGTCCTAAAAGCCAGATATTACTCGCACTGTGACGTTTTGGAAGCTAAGGAGGGCTATTCTCCAAGTTACATATGGAAAAGAATAATGGAAGCAAAGGATTTGGTTAAGAAAGGAAGTAGGTGGAAGGTTGGAGATGGTTCAAATATTAAAGTTTGGGATGATCAATGGTTAATGGGAGATAAGGAGGATTTTATAACCTCGATCAGAACATCACAGTCACCTGTTCTAGTTCGAGAGTTGTTGGATGTCAAAAATCGAGAGTAGAGTTCTGCATCTCTACAAATTCAACATTGATAGGCAACACATCACTCAAATTCCTATACCTAACAACCATCCAAGGATACAAAAGTATGGCGAATGGAAAGTAATGGAAAGTACTCAGTTCGAACAGCCTATCAGCTATGGCAGAAATGAAAAGAAGAACACACAGGGGAACGATATGTTCGAGTGAACTGGAACCAAATATGACGTATGAATATACCACCAAAAGTGTGAACTTTTGAGTGGAGGTGGATTAACAATATCATCCCAACAGTAGGAAACATTATGGATCACACAATAAGAGGAACTGAAGAATGCCCTTTCTCTGGTTTGAAGGAGACCCAGTTACATATCTTTCGATATTGTGGTTCGGTAAGAAGGGTTTGACAACCTGCGAAACTAAGACATCTATTTATTGAGGGGGAGGATCTAACCTGTGAAGACTGGATCTGTACACTACAAGAACTGGTATCTAAGGAAGCCATCGAGAAATTTCTGGTCGCGATATGGTTTATCTGGGAGGAACGAAATTGCCATCTTTGGAATACAACGAAGAAAGAGGAATGGGAATCATTGATAGAGCTATCTAGTGGCTATCAGAATACAAAATACTACAATTAGAACCAAATACCTCAAGCATGCAGAGGGCAATCAGATGGGAGCCGCCGGGAAGAGGGCTCTTCAAGATAAGAGTTGATGCAACGTTTAATGGTAGTGGGTCGGTTTTTGGAGCGGTTATCATATATGAGAAAGGCCATTTCTGCCAGGCAGGGGTGAAGAGAAAAAAACAACCGTGGCAGCCAGAGTTAGCAGAGGCGGAGTCGTTGAAGTTTGGTTTGGAGTTGGCTCAACGGTTTCATTTCCTCCCTGGGTCATTGAGTCAGA